CTTTGTGTTTTGGCCTTGTGGTTTTCTGTCTTAATTTTATATTTTTATACCAAACTATTTAGATTGCCAAACCCCAACAGCATAAGACTGTCCCTGCTCAAATTATTTCCATTTTAGGCAAATAGGCGAGACCTAATTTGGGAGACCTAACGTCACATCTGTAAGCTTCACTGTGGAAGGGATGGGGTTGTGATCTGGGGGCTGTTTTTTGATGCTTCCTCTACGTCTGCTTGGTGCCTGTTGCATAAACATTCAGAATTGCCACTATAATTACAGAATTTCCGAATCCATAACATGATTATTCAGAACCGTCTGTCTCTATGAATGACACCACGCTTTCAGAGGACACCGTGACGCCATTGGGATAGTTATCCGTTGTTCACGTCGGTGGTAACTCTGCAGCCTGAGTGCACGCCGGTGGCAGAATAACACATTTAGAGGAAACTGCAGCGAAACATAAAGTTGGTCTCATGTATGAAACGACAGGCAGCCCATCTCCTGCCCTGCTGCATCTATTAGAGATAAATGGATGCAGTAACGAGCTCATGTGGGATGTAGGACACATGCTGTATTTCTGGCGCTTGGAATCAATCACTCCTCTTACTTTGGTCTCTTTTACCTGCAGGAGAGACGTTTATTTCAATCAAACTCAGTAACCCACATCCTTTGAAACGGTATAATAACAGGCCGGAGGGGGGAAATGGATGAAGTGAGTGAAAGTTGCCCTTCTTTTTGTATTGTGTGAGTTAGATGTTAACCATATCATTCAATTTAAGTGATTATATACAGCACATTAAAAGTCTTACTTCCTAATATAACAAAGGCTGAAATATATATATATATATATATATATATATATATATATATATATATTTTTTTTTGTAGCATATTTTTAAACATGTAAATGTTACAGCGTCTCATGTATTTGTACAGAGCAAATGTTCCAGTTGAGGTGAAATGCCATTGAACATAATAAAGATCACTCTTTGAAATCCAGTGTGTCAGACTGCTCCAGTACAATGAACATAAGTTCTACTCAACACTTGATTCTTCTTCAAAACTAAATGAAGGGGCTACTTGTACATTTATTAAATTATCTTTAATTAAATCCTACAATGTGTGGCAATATAATCGTCTTTGACTTTTATTACAGATTTCTGTTTTTGCTGGAAATGCACATTGGAATGTTGCCAACGGCTGGCCGGTGAGTTAACAAAAAGCACACAGGAAACATCTGGACCATCTGCCGAACCCTTTCAAATTCTAAATGGGACTTGATAGTGCCGTAGTGACCATCTCCGAGCACACGATGGAACCAAAGCTGTAGTTCATGTCAGTGCAGCCTTCAGCCTTCAAAGCATCAGCTTTGTTCACAGACAGACAGATTTGCTGCTGTTCACCAAACCAGCTTCTGTAACGTCACAAGCCTGTTTCCTGGGGCGCTTAATTCCAACATCTGTTTAAAATGAGCAACACACTATAGTGATCTTCATTTTTTCCTCATATTGACCGCAGTGTGGCAGCAAAAGGCTGCAGTGTGACGAATCCCTTCACTCTCATTGTCCTGGTTAAAGTATTATCTTTAGTAGAAAACATGTTGGAAAATAAATTTTATTGGGAATGTTTTTAATCACAAAGCAGCAATATACAGTGAAAAGGTAAGCTGGAAGGTTATTTCTATTTAGTTGTATTTACTGTCCGTCGTTGGTGTCGGTCTACGCGTGATCCTGATACAGGGCGACCTCCGGTGGACAAGTTAGGAATAGCAGCTCCTTTTAGTGGATCCGGCCCACCAGGGGGTCCAGCTCTTATGACAAAGTATTGCGTTAGAGTCTAACACGATACTTAATATATCGTGTTAGACTCTAACGCAAGTCATAATAAGAGATTTAACGTGTTAAAACATCTATGAAACGTGCTAAATAAATAGTGTATGTTAACAATAACCGCATAATACGAACAAATCAATATTAATATTAATGTTGTTACCATTCACTATCATTAATAATAATAATATATGTATGCAATACAAATAGAATGAATCAAACTTAATGATGATGATTATTATTCTTGACTTAACTATAATAATTGTGTAGTGTAATATTTTATGTTATTACTAGTTTTATTATTACAAGCATTATCATAATTATTATTTACATTATTAATATGTTAATCACTTTAATATTAATGTTCTTATATGCATTTTTTAAATGCATTTATGAACATTTATGTGGCTGGTGTTGTCTTTCTTTTTTTTAAACTTGTTAACCTGACAACAAGACCTGGAGTGGGACGTCCATGAGAATGGAGCAGTCCGGACTCCCCCACCCACCACTTTGGTGGCGTTAGGAGGAGTTCAGTTTGGCGCTCGCGCCGTCTTGCTGTTTGACGAGATGGTGAGGACGTCCCCGGGTCTCGTTCCTGGGTCCTTCACACGTTGTGTTTTCGACACCAGCTGCAGGGTCATCTACGTCTTCGTTGGGTCTCGGAGCCCTGGAGGTCCAATTAGCTTGAAATAACCTCATCAGCGAAACGCTCTCCATTCCCCTCCTGTACGTTCCTATAAGGGCCGGCTGACACTCAAGACTTCCACTGGACTCCAATGGAGACATGCTCTTCAGGGAAAGACCAAGGATTTGAAAATTCAATATTTTTTGGTGCAGCAACCAATGATTCTTTTTGTTACTGATTCGTTTGAAGATTATTTTTATTAAGGGGTTTCTTGAGGAGTTTCGTCGTTTTTCTGAGTGGGACCTTGCTTTAATTGTTCCTGTGAGCACGTGGGTGACCAACAGGGTGCACATCGCTGCCAGTGGATTCAGATGATGCCGCTCTTCTGCAGGTGGTGTAAAGGTGCTAAGAAAGGCAACAAAGAAGAAGATGGGTAGATGTTAAACAAGGTTTTTTTTTAAGGAGAAGGAAATACATTCGTTGAAAGGAATAAGACACGTTTCAGTTCGAAACACTGACTGTAACCATCACTTTTTTGAACTACAATGCGCCAAAGGACACCTTTTAATGACTAATTTGTTATAATAAGAAAGTACAAATGCTAGAGTCCAAGGTCATTCCTTACATTCCAGCTCTTGAAAGTCTGATTTCAGTTATCATATATTTTTTCAAAGAATCTTCACTCTCTACAAAGGGCACACTTTATAATGACGTTATTTTTAGTCCCCATGAATGCTTTTCGAATCAGTAATAAACAATTGAACATGAACAGCCCTCCCAGCATCCCTTTAACCGGCAGAAACAGAACACGCTGAGGAGGAGCAACAGAGACGGACTGTTTCAGTATTGTACCCTACAAGGACGCGTATTCGAGTAAAGCGTGTTATTGGCCGCCGAGCTGCAGTTTGCCGTATCTCCACCAGATGGAAGCCAAAACCCTGACCTCATATCATTCAAATCCAGGTATGACTTTAGTGATATAAGATGACAGTTGAGAATACCGGCCCTATGACTAAGCGTCAAAGCAGCCTCAAGACTATCATCAACACAAAAGCTCACATTCCTTTGTACTATGAAATAAATCCGGTCAAAGAGTCCTTGAAATACTCCAGACGGTTTCCATTGCATCAGCGCAGTGCTGAACGGTCCCAAAACGTTTAAGAAAAGAACGACGGTACTTGTGAACAGGACACGGTGACACATTTCGTGTCACGCCTTACTCGCGCGATCCACATGGACAGAAATATTTTGTATATTTTTCCATCGGCCCTTGAGAGGTTCAAAAATCCCACGGCTCACCAGAGAAACAGTCTTTCCTGTAATTCTATTTCATCAAATGGGGTCATGAGTTCCGAAATTTGTTATTTGTGAGTGGGTGTGTGGTTGGGAAACTACGCATGGATGAAGTCTAAAATTTACACCCAACAATGGAGAACACCTGACTTTAGTTCCTCATCACAAAACGCCACTGCTTAAATACTTTCCCCGACCTTAAGGGGACATTACCCTCCAATACGCTTTCTGCAATGCAAATCCCCCTTTTCCTACCGTTCTTTTTAAAAACCTCTTTCACACATGTAAGCCTAAATACATTACAAATAAAATAGATAAAAAACAACAACAACAAAAAAAGCCATTGGACAGAATGGTCTCGAGACCTACTTCTTAAGATCCTCTTAAAAGGTAATGGTTGATTCCTGTTGATTTTCATTGACTTAAAGCCATTCTGCTCCCTGTTATTGTGGCTTTACTTTATCATGTCCAAGAAAATAAAGTCCACTCACTCACACACACACACACACGTCTCCAGATATTCATTGCTTTACCTTTTGACTAACCTACTTTTTGGGGGCCCTTGTTGTCATCCCCGGGGGGGGTCCAGCTCTGACATGTTAGGCAACCGCGGATTTGGCAGCTTTCCACCAGCTGAGACACACCAGCTACCCTGTTGATACTTAATCTGACTTGTGCTCTCACACACACACACACACACACACTCACACGCAGACCTGCAGGCAGGTATGCGTATGAACACACACACACAAACACGGGGCTTACGCAAGCCTCGGCCAGCCATGCCTAGGGTAGTCATAACACACGGTGGAGACACGCCAAGATGTTAAGGGTCAAATAATGATTCCTAGGCAACGGTAGATGGGATTAAAAAATGGGATTATATGTATTTGAGTTGAATAGATGTGGTGTTTGATGAGTTGCACTGAAGCTGGAGATAAAAAGATTGAGTACCTGCTCCCCTTTGCGTGTGTTCCAGGAACAGACACTGACCCGCCGGTGACATTTGTGTGTTCGAGGGGTTGAATGTTACATTACGCAAAGGTCAGAGAAGAGTAAACGGTTAGAGACGCAGATGGAGGGAAAAGGAGTTTTTTTTCTCTCCCTTTCAAGGAGGAAATTAAAAAACGCTGGCAAAAACATGAGAATGTGAAGAGAACTCTTGCAGGAAATTCTTCTTGGCATGAGGTCGAGCTGTGTTTTGTGTGTGTGAGAGAAAGACAAGCAGTAGTAATGGGGAAAAAAAACAAGCCATCTTAATATGAAAAAAATGTGATCTTTATTCAACATCACCACACATATTTCTAATATACATATTTACACCTTTTGTACAATGAATATATCTGGTATGTAACCTGTCTGGACCAGAAATAGCCTCTAGGTTGTGTCACAAATACATAATTCACAGTGCAATATGAAGTCTGTGCACCCGCGTCAGTTTACTCTACGTGTCCCATCGATGTGCGACTCTTCTTGTCCAAACCAGGAACAAAATCCTAAATCTAAAAAAAAAAGGAAAAAATGAGGAACAATTCAGATTGTCACAAACCCATTCCCATCTGTTATCTCGAGCAGATGAGAGAAAATAATTACAGAACTGCAGCAGACGTTTTATTAGCCCACTGGTTGACCCCAAAAATGTAATGCACAGCGCTTCTCAGATATGCCAAAATGATTGTGCCAGAATGAAATAACTGGCTGCAGATCTAGTCTGCAAGGATAAACGTCACTGAAGCCCTGCATCCGCTTGTCACAATCCAAGATAAAACATCTTTTAGAACGCGGCGCATCATTTCTCCCACTTTCATGTCTAATCTCCTTGGATTCATCTTTCAACAGCGAAAACAAATAATAAAAAGGGGAAAAAAGTACCATAAAAAGAGGCGAAACAGTCGGAACAGATTCTTCCGTCCAAGGTCAGGACCGTTTCCTACAGACCCGCTCTAGTGTTGAGTCATCATTAGACGACAACCACCATCAAATATCGCCTGAGTGCCAGTGATTCAGAGCCATTCAGTTTATGAAACACAGTGATACGGGCACGACACTCACACAGCGTTCCAACCGACAAAAATGTTCAACTGCGCAACTGAGAGAGGTCTTCATTTTTCTGAAGTGGGTTTCTTTCTGACTGGGCTGTTCCTGAACTGGATATTTGACACATCTGTTTAAAAAAACAAAACAAAAAAACAACATTGTTGGATTGAGATAACTAGTTGCGTTGTAATTCAAGTGTATTCAAGCATTTTAACTGTCTGTTTGAATTCCTTCCCACTGAAACGCAGCATGTCGGACCGTTTTTGAAGAAGCATTAGCTGTGGCTAACTGATGGATCAACGTCCCATTAGCCAGACACTTCCGGTTCTGACGCGACCCCTTTTAGATGATACTATATTCAGAGCCTGTTTTTGAAGAGTTAAAGGGTTTAGCCCGTTTAAAATGTCTTCCTTCCTCAACTAGCCACCTCGCGTTACTAAGTGTGTAGGACTTTCTAGTGAGCTTTACACTAGTAACGTCCTGCCGTTCTCCACCTTCTGCGAATGCTGTGAGATTTGTAAAACTCTCGACTTGCTGGCACGTTGCCAGATTGGCAGCGAGACACCTCTCCTCGCGTCCCCGCCGAGCGTGACGCATCCGTCCTCTGCTAAGCGTCTTTCTCACTCCATGACACTGCCTGCTGCGAGACGTCGAGCTTGTGCTTCCTCGAGCCGGACCGGTGAGTCAGCCCGGCGGAGCCTCCAGCCTGGTCAGAGACTAGATTGAGAGGAACGGCGCCACGTCTCCTCGCCTCCCATTCAAGATTCGTCGGAGAGCCTCGAGAGCCCCGGCTGAGAGGAGGCATCGGTGACTATCGTTTGCCGTGGGTTAATTCTCTGTGATACTCTCACAGTAGCCTGTGGGACGTAATCCGGCAAATTCAAGTCACTGTTATTTCTTTTAGCACCAAATCGATTGGCAAATATACATAAAGAAACGTAAAGAATGATCATTGAACAATGCCCTTAGCAAGTAACACGCATACGACAACAAACTACAGTACAGTGGGTTCTCGTAGAAAGCTTGAGGGTGTAAGTACACTCAATTCTACACAAATGGGTTTCTAAAACGTGCCATTGGTAAAAACACAACAATGGGTCCCTCATAGCAGTTCCCGTCTTGGTCCCTCGGCAAGTCTCAGCTGAATCGAGTCCGTCAGCAGAACAAATCCTCATCCTCTTCCACCTCAAAGGACGGCACCATCTGTTCTGCTGAGCTCACTTCCTGTTCTCCCGGTGCCACTTCCTGTGACGACGGCGGCTGGTGGAACCACGGGTGATCGAGCAGCTCGCCGGCCGTGAGTCTCTCCCAGGGCTCTTTCCTCAGCAGGCTCTGGAGCAGACACTTGGCCCTGGGCGACAGGCCCTCGGGCAAACAGCACTGGCCCCTGCGGATCTTGGAAAACAGCGTGGCCGGGTCCGGGTCGTGGAACGGGTAGCGGCCAACCAGCATGGTGTACAGCATGACCCCGAGGCTCCACATGTCGGCCATCTTGCCAGAGTAAGGCGCGGAGCCGCTGAGGATCTCGGGGCTGACGTAGGCGGGGCAGCCGTGGGTGTCGGACATGGAGTCGTCGCTCGGGTCTTCTAGGACGCGGCAGTCCTCCAGGCTTTCTAGTCTCACTCGGGTCCTGCCCAGAAAGGGTCACAACAGTGTCAGGGCATTTCAAAAGGACCTTTACTAAAAACTTTGACAATCATAAAAAAGAAGGTTTAGGGTCGTACGTTCTTTTGTGTTAGCTGCAGGTTTACTTAGTTTTGAGAATCACATTTCTACAGAGCCGAGAGGTTTAGTCGCATCTCGAGCGCTTTGCAGTGAAACCAAAGAGTTGGAAGTCAATCGCACCCTCTAAATCTGAATGTGGCAAAGCAGAATACTTTTTGCATAACGTCACGGTGTGGTGTGCTTTGCAGAAAATGATGTCATTTCGTAGAAGGCCGATACTGTTGCCGTGTGTGAAGGGTGTTTTCTAACAGTTTATTTAAACACTGTCAAGCATCCTTCCTTGAGTCTTGCACAGCAGACACACACACACAGACAACCAATCCCAAGACACCAATGAACTTTCTATGACCTAAATGCACAACAGTGAGTACAGTTTGAGAATTAGAGCTACAGGAGCACAATTATAATGACTTCCTGCCACACACGGTCGCCCGCACGCTCACGCACATGAATATACAACTCCTCCTCCTCCCCTACTCGCACTCAAAATGCTATATTTAGCCCGGTTAATGGCGGGACGATGCGTTTAGTCCAGCTCTGGTGCAAGACAATGGACGTGCCCTGATTATAATTCCACTTTGATTTGCGCCTCCTCGAGGTCTTCTCTGCCAAGACCAACACAGTGATTGTGGATTTATCAAGTACTGTGCTGCTTTATCTCACACTCAGAGGGTCGACTGAATCAGCGAGACACTTCAGTTGTCAGACAGACAGGCTGGAGAGAAGAAATAATCAGCTAGAGTGGGGATCAAAAGACAGGGACTGGCAGAAAGACCAAGATAGAAAGCAAATGATATTTAAACACCAAGATAGTGGAGGAGATAAGTCAGGGGGAGGAGAGCGAGCGATGGAGACAGAAAAGGAAAGAACAGCGAGAGTAAGAGGGGTGGAGAGAGTGACTCATCCTTCTGTTGAGAGTACATTTCTCTCTCTCTCTCTCTCCGCGGCTATCTGCACCTGGGTCCCACACTCGCGGCGCCAGCCATTCCATAATTACCCTCAAATGGCTGTTGCCACATCAGTGACGCACGGGAAGGCCGGCCTAGCAGTGAGGCTCTGCATGCTTCACAGTGCTAGTCACTTTCCCTGAACTGGCTTTCCCAAATGCACTCGTGCGTGTGTGTGTGTGTGTGTGTGTGCGTGAGAGAGAGAGAGAGAGAGAGAGGGTAGCATTTGTCAAATAGTTGTGACTTTCTGTGTCCCGGGCTCGGGTGCTGCGCTGTTAGCAGGGTCACTGCGTCACAGCGGGACTGTTGGGGTTTGAGAGATGCCCCGAAAGACGGCATGACGAGATTAATGGGATCACGCAGATTGCAACATTTGAAGGGGACTTGTGTTGATGGCCGTCAAACAGTCCGTCTGTGATCGAGTGTCAACGGTAACCATCTCTGAGTGAACGAAAGCTTAATTTCTCACTATTGGCAAAATCGGCAGCGTTTTAGTTTTTCTCGGCCACATAACTGTAAGGTCATCCCCCAGTGCAATGCAGTGTGTCGCCAGCCAGTGTGTAAAGAGACGTTGAGAAAGACGTCATCCCTCAACTCCGGGGTCAAGTGGGTCATGTGGAAGCACCAGGGTCAATGTTGCAATGCTGTCATTCCGCTAACGAAAGACGGAATCACAGGCTAAAGACATTGAGCTGGCACCGAGCGTTTAATCCGTGCTCCTACAGACATGTACGGACACACACACACACACACACACAAGCACAAAGGAAGAAAATGAGCTGCTCAGCCCCCCTCCTCCACTCCCCCTCTGCACATATACTCTGTGACTCATCGCTTTGCAGCCGTGTGGCTATGAGAGGGACACAACCGACTTCAACTTCTCTCACTGGCTGTCTGCTCTCATTCATCCAGCTTGACCCCGCTAGCCCAGAGGTCACGGGCTGGAGAATGTTAACGTTGAGAAGTCTCCACGGAAAAGGGCCTTTTGGAAAGCCGCTGGGGTTGGGGGGGCGGGCGTGGGGGTTGTGCTACACCGACGGGCGCTAAAAGGAAATCGTGTGACGCGAGGGCTAAGAGGCGACAAATACTTTTTGTAAGCAAAGGTTTTGTGTGTCTCCCTGAAGCAAATGTTCAGAGATGCAGACGTTAAGGTGTGTGGGAGCCAGTTCAGCCAGCAAAGCCTTTGACCTGCTCCATTATGCATGCATGCAAGTTTATGTCAATGAATCCCTGTTGACAGCATCAGTTATTCTGTATTGTAGTGATGATGTAATTCATGAATAAATAACGAGCGATGAATATATTCTGAGATATACACCGCAGAAGGGGCTGATTGTCTCATTCACCAGCTTCGTCTCGCAGCTCTGCCAAACCGCCACCCACCGCATTCACACGTGCGTGTGCGCACACACGCTAACCAGCAAAACAAAAAACGTGCGTACAAAGAGACACGTCGGGAGGCAGACAGAGAGGGCGAGAATCTGGGAAGCTTTACAGTCTGCCTCCACAAGAACAGAACCTCCTACTCTATCTGCGCCCACATTGAATATGTGCACACATGGCCCGTGTGTGCGGGTCCGCTGCTGCTCTGCATGCAATAAAGTCCCACAGCATCCAAATAAAGTCAACTGGGTTTTTTTTTTTTTTTTTAGAGCTGGAGGAAAGTTAAATAAATGACCACGATGCTGAGTGGGTGCACGGCAACAATACAAGAAAAGAAAAAGTTTTGTGTGTTTTAAGTGTGTCGTTAGGGATGTGCGCGGCTTCTCACCTTTTCTCGTCTGCGAAGACAAACTTTCGCAACTTGAGGTCGCCCAGCACGATGCCGGCCTGGTGGCAGTGCGCCACGGCCACGGCCGCCTGGCGGAAGAGCCTGCGGGCGCGCTCCTCGTCCAGCCTGCGACAGCTTTTCACCAGGGTGTGCATGTCCCCAAAGTCCTTGTCCAGGAACACGTAGGCTCTGCGCTCGCCGATGATGATGTCCCTGACTCCGGCCACATTCTCGTGGGCCGGTAGGATCCCATAGGCCCGGATCTTCTCCTGGTACACCCCCATATCAAAGACCTGAGAGAGGAGGAGAGAAATTAGGAGGATGTCGGAGGGAGGGGGGAGTCTGTGTGTGTGTGCATGTAGGCGGAGGAGGAGGCAATGGGTTAGTGTTTTTTTTTAATCATCTGAGGAAACGAGCACGCATATTTGGCAGCGGTTCAAACACCCCCCCCCCCGCCCGTCCTCGCCCTCCCCTCAAAAAAGCGACGCGTTGGATATGCTTTGATTCCAGCTGCTTTTGCAAGAGCGTGCATGACCAATGAATTAGCAAAGCACGAAGCGATTCACTTTATTAATCAACAAAGCCAAACGCCCGCGGACCCGTTCAGCAAAACAAACACTCGGGTCTGAAGCAGCGGAGGGCGCGCTGTTGTTACCGCGTGGCGTATTGCAGTGACGTGTATGCAAATGAGTGCATTTGACAGACACGGTGTGGGCCCGCGGTGGCCAGGACAGGCATTCAAAATACCTATTCAAAATAATCCAATGTGGTTCCGATTTTTTTTTTAAATACCCCTCCAGTTATTACGCAAAGTGCGAGACATTTAACGTGGCGACATTCGTTGAGCAAGTCTGCTGACTCCCGATGACACGTCGGATCGCACTGTAAGAGAAGCGAGACGTCTCGAAACACCATTCATTCAAAGACGATTGCACATCGACGCGGATTGCGCATACGCGCGTACCTTGCACAGCTGCTCGTCGCCGGTGTCGGTGTTCATCGCGCTGTGCACGCTCTCCCGGTCCGTTAGAGGTAGAAGCAGGAACGGTCCTATCCGGGATGGCCCCTGGTGGGTCGTCGGGCTGGAGCTTGAGACGGGGCTGACCGGGGAACCGGGAGAGGTGCCCAGGAGCCCCTGCGTGTCCCCCGCGTCGGCGCTCAGCCTGGCGCATTTTGCCGGCGGTTGATCGTCCGAGTCCAGCCGCTTGTGCGCGACTCTCGCGGTGCGCACGCGGGGTGCCGGGCTGCTCCACTGCAAGTTCATGCTGATGGAAATATTCACCATCAAAGCAATGAAAAAAAAAAAATGAAAAAACCCGAGACCCCCGAATGGTTTGGAATGTGTCGTTTCTTCTTCTTTAGAATAAACTGCACACGTTGCGCTTCATTTCTCCTCGTTGCGCCGTCAATGAAACTTTCAGGAATAATCCGAGCCAGGGAGCGAATGCCCGAATGCCTCTGAGGTCCGTGTACTTCTGGTGAGAAAAATCCCCCCTATCCCTCAGGAGTCCAGACTGAGAGAAGGAGAGAGAGAGGGGGGAGAGAGAGAGAGAGAGAGAGATGGGAAGAAGAGAGAGAAAAAAGGGAGAGAGAGAGAGAGACAGAGACCGCCTCACGCTCCGAGAGAGGCAGAGAGTGAGTGAGCTCCGGTGATGTTGAGCTCAGAGCTCAAACACTCCGCCCGACCAGTCCAGCCTCCTGGTGACACAACCATTGAGCAATCCTGTAATGACACCGACTGCAGCGCAGCTCTGATGAAACAGCCGGCAGTATTACCTTTCACAGAAGACGTGCGTGACCATATGCTGCAGACATGAATGCTTTAAAAAAAAAAATTATACCCCCCCCCACACCCCTCCCCCTCTTGTTTATTTGTGATGAGGTAGACATTCTCCAGATTTTGCTGAAGCTGGAAAACCAAACAAAAAAAAAAAAAAAACTTACCATGTGAGAGGAATGAAGAAATCATGTGCTTTCATGGCTCACATGTTTTAGACAATAATTAACAATCTTTAAAGATCTCTCTTGGACTCCTGTTGTTCCTTAATGCTCAGTCGTTTATTGCGACCACAGCGCTCCTGCACGGCACCTGAGCTCATTTGCCTTCCAAACGTTCGGCCTCGGGTGTGAACTACAGGCCGCACAAAGCTCCAGTGTATGAGCCTTAACTCTGGCTCTAACATCACCACGACATTTTCCTACGCGGGGCTTGTTTGTTATGTGGACGTGACTCACCCTCATAAAGCTTTTCTGGATGCTGGGCAATAAGCATTCACATAAAATGTGCCAGCGCGGCTCGGTAAACAACACATCATATGGCACCGGGGCTCCCGGGGGGGGGGGGGGGGGTTAGAACTACTGTACTTGTCGACACAAATGGGCAAGCCAATGGTGTGAAAACAATACCTTGGAAACAGTACGATGAATAAACTATGGACTGATACTTCTGAGTGTGAGAGCCAGACTTTTGAAGTGCGATTAAAAAAACACGCATGACCATGTGCATGTTGCGCAAGACTTCTCTTTTTTTTCCACTGCTGTAAGTTACACAAACCCACTGCACCAGCTGGCATGTGTGTCTGTGTGCGCCTGTAAGCACTATCGCCCCTATTTTATACAACCCCCCCCCCCCTCCCCTTCCTGCCAAACAGAAGCGTGCCGTTCCGAACCATTTATTTCCACATTTCCAACACAGTTCCTGCCACAAGAGGTCACACACTTAACCGGGTCACAGGAGCTCGACTCAGCTCGACTCGGAAAAGGTCATATGAACCTGTCTCAGCAGGCCCTCCAAACACGGATGAGCTGCAGATTCCACAGAAATGATGGCTGTTATTTTTAGGCCCGGCATTCTTTCTTCGTGCAGTGGTCGTCCCATAAGGTGACTCACCAGCTGATTGATGTGTGCGTGCGTCTCCGTGAGCAAGTGTGTTTGTCATGCTGTCGAGCAGGCACAGGAACAGGTTTCCTCTCGCCGCGGCCCCTTGCTCTGCTTTTTAAGAAGTTCAAAAAGCAGGATGAACAGTCACTGCGGGAATGGGCGGCGGCGGCGCCGCCGTGGAAGCCTGACAGATTTGTTGTTATCTGACGATGTTCTGGACCTGGTGTGTCAGTGCTGCATCAACGGGATGATGCACGTTTGTTGCTTGTTTATGTGTGACAGTGTTTAGGTGTACACTGGAAAAACTGACTTTTTTGTATTGGCTTTGATAAATACAGTGTGCGTGTTTGTTAGCATGTGTGGGATACGACGATTTGTTCCAACGTAATGGAATTGGACTCATCCAATGGACTCATCACTCAAGGTCACACCCTACAAAACATGTGTAAACTGTAGATTCACCAATGGTTTATGTTGCTGGACCGGAGGATGGAGCATCATTGGTCGGGCAGGGTGTCCATTTATTGTGAATGTATATATATGTGTGTGTGTGTTTGTGTGGCGCTGGGTAGCTACGTCAGTTGTGAGAGAAAAAAGCATTCAGGGTTTGCCTTGTTGTAATTAGCAGAGTCACTCGCCATCTGCAGCGCTAAAGAGAGGCTGGGAATTGATCGAGTTATTCTTCATCTGAGCGGCTCTCAGCTAAAATGTAGATTTGAGACTACAGTCAAAATGATGACTTGCAACTGACTGTCAGCGAAATTTGTTTTTCTGGTGACCCTTTTTTTTGGTACAGCAGACGTCAATCAAAAGATATTCGTGCACATCCAGCCAATGTAAGTGTTTTTTTCCTCTCCCGGCGACCCAGACGAGTTAACAAGCTTTGAACATTGAATTAAAACTGTTAACACCAGATGTTAGGAAACTCTAAACTCCTGTTTTCCAACAGGATCACAACTCTTTAAAAGCAAACGCTAACCTTGAAAAGCAACAAGCTAAATTTTCAAAGGTTTTTCAGCTAACAAGCGTTATCAATTGTGTTGAGTTTAACTTTCAGCAAATGCGTCCGTGGTTGCTTCTGTTAACTTTAAATACTGTAGATAGTTGGCATACACAGATGAATATGTATTTGAAATTCATCAAAGGCTTTTACAAGGACACATATCATTTTGGTGATTTTAACAGCTGCCGTTGCTACTAGCAACCATGGATGCATTCATCGGCGACTCACCGGTTATTACTTTCTAAGCTGAAAGGGCGGCAACTCCTATGGTCGCAAGCTTTTATCGGGGTGCACTACCACTGGCCTGCAAAAACAATGCTCCGCTTGTAGCATCCTTTATAAATCTCTGAAAACTCAGGGGGCCTCACGGCAAACGTGCAGATACCGCTCGCTGTGATACTTCAGTCTACGTCATATTCTCGAAACCTGCAGCTCATCGGGTAACCAGTGCCTTTCTCCACTATACTGCACATTACGAGCATTCAAACGAGCAGGTGAATGGACCTCCTGCTCTCCTTCCATTATGGATCAACCAAACTCGAAACAGCAAAAACAAAAATGGTGTAATAGTGCGCTGTGGCAGTATTCCCACTGCTGATGCCGTTTGGAATGATCCTGATGCCAATAATTGTAATGTAGCGAGGAGTTTAACAACTGCTGGAATGGAATGGGAACGCTGAGTCGGAGATTCACTGTCATCTTGATCTTGATGATTTCTTCCAATAAGTGTAATAAATGCATGTGCGCTTAATCTGTAACGTGTAATGATTTCGTGTTCACTCAACTGAAAAAGTGTGAAATCCATCCGTCTCCGTGTCCTATGTCTCCGCCTGGCTCGGATTGCTGCAGGCCTACATGAGGAAACGCGCATTTTCACTGCGAAACGGAGGCGCGCTTCCTCGGCCGGTTTCTGTACAAACCGCGTGATACGTAATTAGGCGTATTTCACACATCCCCTCCCGTGAATGCATACGCATGATATGGAAAGCATAATTTGCCTTTTTCAGTTTCTGCGACAGCCATTCTGGGCTTTGATGTTAGTGCGGCTTGTTTGTACTTACCTCGCCGTGCTTTTACGCGCACATTGCGAAACAAATACGCCTGGAGTGAGCGCAAAAGTGAAACTACACGAGGCCCTCCGAGTCCATGTCGTGGTATTTGACGTTCCGTTCATGACCACAATAACGTTTTTGTAAGCCTCTGGTGACTTGTAGGCTGTAACAACAACATGCTGGGTTCTTCCACCAAATGCATGCATCTGCTCACTGGATATTTGACCACGTGCCAATGTATGCTACCCATTCTGCAATGGCACAGGGATCTACAAAGTCAATTGGTCTACGTTGCAATAACAATTGTTGGTGGTTGATGCAGAACTTGACAATCTATTGCTCTTCTCTATTCTTCTGTTTCCAAAGTCATGCACCTAATCACTGTCTACAGACTGCGACAGATTGTATTGGATGACGGGGATAGATGCCCTTGGGCTGAACAATTTCCTTAAAAATAACCTTTTTTGTTGACACTTCAAAACATTTCCACATTGTAGTCACGTGAATCTCTTTTTTTCCTTCCTGACGGCTCGACATGAACACAATATCAGCTGTTAGAGTTTGACAGTGAGCCAGCATTCACAATACAAGGTCACTCAAACAGCAGCAGTTAATTAAGCCACCATTTATATTATTTACACCCATGGTTTTACTGTGAAGATTACAATGCTGTTCTGTTAAAATAAGCTACCCAGTGGTGGATAAATCGATTTAACTAAATGTTCATGCATAGCTGTTTTGCCGTCAAGATATGGACTGGAAGACGTCGGCACATTGCACCCGGGAGGCCTTCGTCTATGCAAAGACACAAAATGAGTGTATCTGTAACTGGTATGCAATACGATAACATACTAACAGCAGAACTTCAAACTCATATCGGAGCATCTGAAAAGGCACTTAATGAAAGAAGGAAGTCATGAAACTGTACGCAACATCAGTCTTTTTATAAGTCCACCATCTTCCTCTATTGGTATCCACTGCCTATTATGAGTGAGTGGAACCTGTTTACTGCAAATATACAGTATGTTGACTGCTTTTACCATTGTTTCTTTGTACAGCTCACAATTGACTATGAATGCAGAACTAGGGAGTGAGAGTTAGAAGTGGGCCACTGGCCACTTACCCTTTCCATAAATTCTGCCTTTGGAACAACATAAATACTCCTCTTGCCTACTGTATATCTTATCATAGCTTCTCGATACTGTGAACCGTTTGAGCTCAAACGTTGAAGTCAAATCCAGGAATTGTCATCAGCCCACTCTAACCATCTCCACTGAATTTGATGTGTATTTTCACAACCTTGGCTGACCTGAAGGACGATCAATCAAACCAGGAGCTGAGACGGGGGATTGTTTCATGTGGATGGACTCCAGACTGTAGTCTGGCTAAAAGATTCGGTCCTCCTTCTCTAGTTTTCCCAATCTGTCAATCACTATTGCTTTGATCTGAGCAAGGGGGGATTGGATTTGAGACACTGGATTCTTGGCAGCGTAAATGTTTTGTTCGGTTCAAAATCAAGTTTAATACATACTTTCGATTTTGATATCATGTTGTGCTTGGATTTTACAGCTCATGAACTCTAATCGTTTTTACATAGGAACAAAGACCTACTTATTGTTCCCCATTGAACCAAATCATTTGTTCTCAAAAATGGGAGTTGTCAAGTTTTAATATACTCAGCACAGAGACTTCCCTAAAGGTCTTCTGAGAAGTTATAAAGTTTTGACGGAAACTAAAATTCTTTGTTTTGCAATGAATAATGTGGAATTTGGAGAACCGATGAGGATTCATT